TTTTTCCTATTAGGCGAGCAGCTAGTAACTCCCTCTGAGTTACTGCACCCAGTGGCGTCACCTGGAAAGGTTTGCTCTGGTCACAGTGAGTTTTTTTGTAAAAGCAGTTTCACTTGAACGTCGGTTTTTGTGATGGCCTATTTAAGAGTACAGTGTTCGGCTGTAAAAATTTGGTTTCCTGCTCGGGAAAAATGCCACAGAAACTTGTGCTATTGAACACAGCTTACAAGGACAGTGCCATGCGAAAACCTCAAGTGTATGAGTGATTGTCTCATTTCAAAAAAGGTGAAATATTGATTGATGGCAAACCTCATTCTAGAAGTCTGTCAACTTCCTGAACTGATGAAAAAGTCAACAAAATTCATGCACTTGTGCTTGAAGACCACCGATGGACTACTTAAGAGATGGGGAAGTTAGATAGACTATCTTAGAGCTTGTTCAGCTAATTTTAACAGAAGAATAGGGAATGAGAATGGTTGCTGAGAAATTTGTTCTGAGGGTTCTGACTGACCAGGAACATGAGTGTCTACTGGAAACATGCTGTGCTTTGAAAGAACAGCTCTGAAGCGACCCAGACTTTTTTTTCAAAGCCATAACTGGTGATGAGACATGGTGCTTAGCTGATGATGACCCTGAAAGCAAACATCAATTAAGCCAGTGAATGACACCATCATCACCTTGCCCCTCAAAAGCTCGTCAAGTGAAATCAAAGATCAAGATGGTGCTCATTTGTCTTTTTGAAGCAAGGGAGATAGTGCATTCAGAGTTTGTTCCACCACGTCAAACTGTTAATCAAGCTTTCTGTTTAGAGGTTCTGAAAAGATCACGTAACAGTGTGCAACAAAGAAGACCTGATTTGTGGCAGATGGGCCACTGTGTTTGCCACCAAGACAATGCACCTGCTTATGCAGCAATCTCAGTGTGCCAGTTTTTGGCCCAAACCAGCATGCTTCTCTTGCCCTGTGCATCTTATTCACCTGACCTTACTCTGTGCAACTTCTTTTTATTTCCACAAATGAAGGGAGACATGAGAGGACAACTATTTGATTTCTTAGA